CCCCAAAACCCCAAAACCCCAAAACCCCAAAACCCCAAAACCCCATCATAGTGAATTATGGATTTAAATCACATAGCATTTTAATTAAAGCCAGGTACAGAATAAAATTTAGATTCAATTTTTAACAGAAAAATATGTCAATGCAGATTAATTAAGACTCTTAAGATCATCACCTCTATAATAACTAAATGGATCAGCAATAATAGCTTAATTATTTGTTAGATTCTGATTTTTCAATAGGCAATATTTCAGATATTTCAGAAGGATAAGCCTTTAGCAATAAACTTCCTGGTTGTAGCACTGTAGACTCGAACTAAACATTTTTAAATCAGTTGTTAACATAATAAAATATGAAAAGCAATCCTGATAATAATGCTATTGAAGAGCAGCATCATGATTATTACCACAAAGGGCCCCACTGTTCATAACAGCAGTTCATTTATTAGCCTTTGATTTAGGAAAATGAGAGTAGAGTCGAATTCCCAGATGAATACACAATGAGAACAAAAACCCCATTTGGTGATAAAACAATTGAGTCTATTAATAAAAGCAATTAACACTTACAAAATTAGTTGAATATAAACAGCCATAAAAATGATAATTATGCAACTTTAGGCTATAAATTTGATTCATTCATGGACGAAGAAGAATAGGACAAAAAATACCATCTATTAGATAACTAGAAAGGCAATCAATATTTAGATACAAAGTTCACTGAATTTTATTCCCCAAATTTTGCGAACTTAGGCTATATACCTATCAAAGAAAGTTTTCAAAAAAATCTATATTCGCCTGATTCTTAATCATGCAAAACTAAAAATTAGACTTCAAAATCGTCTTTTCAAAGTTAGTAAATATAAAAGATGTATTCTTCCTCTCTTTTTCAGGAATGCAGAAAATCCTAGAATAACAAACATAAAAATTAGCATTCTCAGATTAGCGGAATCTCCTCAATAAATAATTAATCTAACAACTAGTTAAATTCGCATTAATTATCACCTGAGAACAACCTTTTATCCTAGAATTAAGTTTTCAATAGACTATATCAGGAGGGAAGATACAAATAAAAGATTTAAAAACATATATAAAAAGTTCAATCTCAAAAATCCTTTTAACAAAACCCCAATTCAACAAAGCATATGGATTCTTAGACATAAGAATAATTTTATAAAAGAATGCAAGATTTTCTATAGAAAAAGGATGAAAAGATAAAGGAATAAAGAAGAATCTTAGATTTTTAAGAAGAACTTGAAATTCATAAGGAATAGAAGAGAAAACCTAAAAATGATCAGCTCTATATTTGCAACACAAATATTTAATTCAATTAGCAAGTAGATTCTTCCACATTCTTGCAAACAGATGAATTTCCTGAGAAAATTAAGTCCTTTTAGTGCTTAAGTAAATAAGAGCTTCAAATGGTAGCAAGAATGCAGATAGATATATAAAGAAGAAGATTGAAGCATGATACTAAGCTAAAAATGAAGGAATATGAATAAAGTAAGGAGCTATGTTAAATGTTTACTCCCAAGATTAATAAAAAGAAGAGAACTTAAAGTCAAAGCAAAGATTAAAGTAGCAATACTCAGGATGAGACAGATTGTTCAAAATTCTTAGAGCGAGTCTCAGTTTATGAAAGAATGAACTTTGATGCAGAGAGAAGAAGAGAGTCGGTATCTAAGAGAAATAAGGAATAAGAAGATTAAGATTAGTAAACATAGCATAAATCAAGCATGAAAAGTCTTTCAAGAGAAAGATCCTAAAGGAAACTAAGAAAAATGGTATTCCCAAGTGATCATGAATAAAAGTTAAGAGAAGCATTAACTAAAGGCATTTCAGCAATTGATCTTTGGAAATTTATGGGTGATAATCCTGTTAATAGCAATTAGAATAAATCTTCTTAAGCTATTGCAACTCTTAATGAACAATATTTCATGAGTAAGGGAAATTCAATATGCTCAGGAGAGTAGATTGTCATTGGTTCTCAATCAGTTTAGATTGAATAAGACTAAAAGCATAAGTCAATGGGTAAATTGCTTGCATCATCTAGCATTAAAAATATTTCAGCTATCGAGAGAAAAATATGCCCAGGTCAACCTTAAACTCTGAAAAAGCAAGACAGTAAAATGTATCAGCAGGTTCAGTAAAAGTTGGTTGAAAAGAACAGAGTGAATGTTCAAGTTAAAAATTAACCCACCAAGGATACTAAGATCTCACAGAATTAGAAAAATTAAAAGAGTATAAACAGAAATATGAGTGTAGATACCAAAAAATCTAGAGATAAAAGCACGAAAAGTGATAAATCACTTTAAAAGAATGTATAAAGTACAAAATCTTCTTAAAATCCATAGAGCAAGCACATAAGTCGCATGGATGCAGAGAAATATGCTAATAAACTTTGGTCCTAATGCTCAGTTAAGCAGTTCAATTTCTTTGATAACAGCAAGAATAACTCGATAAGCTAATCAAATGCTGATTTATCGCTAATGAAACTGAATTCCTACTCTTCACTCTAAAACTAAATCCATCATAACTCTAAAATAGCTTCCAATTTTTTAAGCGCTAATCATTTGCTTTGAATGAGGCCTAGCCTCTATAAAAAGAATTATTCTTGATAATGTTGGTATGAAATTTCATTAATGTCTAAAAGTAATTTATTTCAACTTTCTGCTGTTACACTTTTGATTAAATAGTTACGGGGGTTTTGGGGTTTTGGGGAGATCGGAAGAGCGT